TCACACTCTCTAAATCTTTAAGGACTCCTCGTTGTCTTAAGCATTGGAGTGTCCACCCCGGGTACAAACAACCCGGGTACTCTAACTCTTTCTCTTGCAGAACAGCATAGCTTGGCCCAACTCAACTCGGCCACTAACAAGGCAAACATCTGATTCGACATCCAGATCATCTGACATGTGAGAGCCGCCAGATCACGCATTCTCAATTGGCTTTTCTCATCTGGATTTTTATTGTTTGGTCCATATATGCTAGTTTTCATTTCTCTAGATTTAGGAGAAAATCTCTGAACAAACATTTCAGAATGTTTCCCTAGACTTTGAGAGAAATTCGCAAAGAAACTCTTCATCCGTTGATAAAGGTGTTGATGAGATCATGAGGATTCAATGATCTATACCCACTCAACTTGCTTGAGATAGATTGAAGCTGCTAAAGATTTGACACGGAATGTTGAAGGAATAACAAATGATGTTATATTCTGTTTCAAAGAAGAGTTGTTCTTTGTATTACAAGAGAGGGAGAAAAAAGTTGGTGTACTTTCATGGTAAAGAAGAGTTGGTCAATTTCTCCAAAAATACCACTTAGGCTACAGTTACTGTTCTCAAATTTTCAATAGCCTCGTCTGTGGCTTCCTTTGAGTTGTTCTCTTAGAAAAAGTTTGGAGATGTTTTACAAGATATGACTTATGAGTAAAAGAAAGGCAGAGACAAAACTTTTATATTCATGGAATTAGAGTTGGAGCAACACTCTATTGTTGACCCACATTATTGATTCCTAACTCGAACCTTCAGGCAATTCTAAAGTCTGAAATTCTTGTTTGATTTGGGTTTCTTTCTTGTTTTTTTCCCAATTTCTCTTACTTGGAATACCTGTTTGTACTTTAACTTGAAAGGCTTCTTTTTTGTTTTTTGTCGTCCCAACCTAGAACACACTAATTTCCTCACTGTTACTGAAACTTTTCCTTTGCTAATGGCATCAGTTCCCTTGAAGCTTTTGACACTGTTGCATCCAATGTTTTCAAAACTGGACAAGACCAGACGGTCGGACCGGAAAAACCGGGAACCAATCACATGATCAGTTCTATTTTACTCCAAACCATTATTTGCATGGTTTTAAAAAATAACCCGGAAACGGAATCATTCTGGCCACTAGTTTCCAAGCCGACGGTTTGATCATCTATTTCGAACGGATGGCTCGTTCTGATAAAAAAAATTTAAAAAAATAATTAAAAATAAAAAAACGGCTAAAATTATTGAACGGGCTGACAGGTCAACGATTCAACCACACAAGTCAACGGATTATTAACTGATTCAATAGTTTTTGGCTAAAGACCGGGTTTGGGATAAAACAGAACCAGTTGCTTGGATAGTTTCTGGGACAAATGATCCAACCATCCGAGTTAACGACGGTTCAAAAACCATGATTATTTAATAAAAAACCATTGATTAATTAACGAACCATTGACCCGAATAATCAAACCATTTGACCCACGAACAATTTAGTTTTACCCAAAATTCAAATCGTTCAATTGTTGAAGTATGGGTTCAAGCAACTCAAATTAATATTGGCATCACTTTGAGCCCCCCTCCATGCACTTTGTAAATCATATAAACTCATTACTTGAGATAATCAACTGGGTTAATTATGAACTTAAATTCCCATCTCAATGGATCGGATTGATGGCCCTCCTACTAATTCGAATTAATCAAATCATCCCATCTCCGTTAATTATGCATGAACTCTAACAGCTCAACCAATTCCTAATAAAAAATCAACTTTTGTTGTCTCTACACATTGCCCATTTGAAGTAAACGTTTAACACTAGTAAAAAAGAGAACTGATCAATGTTCATACCTTCTCAGAGACCGGATCTAGAACAATAACATCGCTGCTAATTGCAGAGATCATTTGTGCAGTCAAAGCTTCGGTGTCGAAGAGACTGATATCTACGTTGGTTCAGCATTGTGATTTCAGTTAGGCCAGCTTCATCATCTTCTCCGCTTGTTGGCTCTCCAGTGTACTGATCAAGGTTTAAAGTATTGGAAACGTTAAGTGTATTGGAAAGACAATTTTAAGAGATATATGTTTGATATACATGCATATTAAAAAAAAACTAAAATACACAGATACAATTGAAAACACTATAAATACTTTAATAAATCATAAAAAATACATTAATAACGTCAAAAGAGGGGCAGAGAATGATCATTCCCTCAAATGGGGGAATGCCATTCCAGTAGGAATGGGAATGGGATTCCGATTCTGCCCAACCAAATAGTTGGAATCGAAATTCAGAATAGCCCATTCCGATTTCGACTCCAAACCCCTATTCCTGCAAACCAAACAGGGCCTTAGTTTTCTGAAAAATAAAGAATATGTGAAGTCCTAAAAATCTGCACCGACAAAAAACTTGTTGAATGAAACTTTCTAGGTTTAAGCTCATTTTGGCCCATAAAGAGGCCACATAATTGTGCAGTTATTTTTGACCAAAATGCATATTTTTTAATTTTCTATTCATATGAACCATTAGCAGTTAGCCTAAACCTTTTCAATCTCTTTTCAGAAATTAATTTATTTTTCAAATTTGCTCTTCATATCAATCCCTCAAATGTAAAGTTATAATTTTAAATCCTCTATTTTTTTTATTATCTATAAAGTTTATATTTTTTACGTCGAAACCAGTCTCAATAATAATTGTATGGGTATTTTGGGCATTTTCATACTTCATTTTAGAAGATTCTAACAAAGGAGATTCATTTGCACCTGTGTCAACAAGTTCTGGGGAGGTAATTGCAGTTACCAAACTTGAGGGGAGGTTTTAGCATTTACCCTTCTTTAAATGCTTTTAATTCATTGATTGGATTTGAATGTGAAAATGTTTAGATAAGTACTGTTTGTAAATACCAGAATATGATATGGTAAAATACTGTTTGTAAAAAGACCCCACCAAATCTTTAGATTCCACACTTCGCTCCTTTCTACTTTGAAAAAGGTTATCATGTGTCCATCATGTTCTTGACGAACATTTTAAATCCCTAAATTACCATTTCCTTAATTTGTGGGCCATTTTGCCCTTTTCTCTTATATTTCTTTCTTATTTTATATTGTGGTGAGGATTTTGTTCGATTAGCATGTAAAAGATTTAAATAGAGGGAATTGAATGGGGTAAAATGTAGTAGTTCAATTTACAATTTAAACCTTACAATTAAATAGAGATTAAATTCAAAATAATTATTTTAGTAAAAAAAAAGTTCCACAATCTTATTTATATTTTTAATAGTAGTGTAAATATAGAAATATAGATGTGCTCAATTTTTTCTATATTTTTTTTTATATTTATGTGTAAAAATAATTCTGATATGTCACACTTGATTTTTGTTTAATATGATGATTAATTAATATTATACATGTGCTTGAATTTTTTTTGCAACATTTATGTATTTTTTTTCTTTTTATATTTTATTAATTTTTATTATTTATTTATGACATTAAATTTTAATACATTTGACCCAAAAGTTGAACCGTTGATCTTTGACAAATAGTAAAATAATTTCATTTTTGGTTAGTTCTAAAGTATGTATTTCATTTTCATTATCAATAAAAATAATTCTTTTGTTACACTTATTTTTTTTTAATTTGATCAATAAAAGTATCGATGTGTCTAATTTTCTACAATTTTGTAATTTTTTATATTTATTTCTATTTTAAAAAATTTATTACCTAACTATGACTTCATAGGTTTATTAATTTTATTCAAATTGTTGAATTGCTTAGCCATCACTTGGATAAAGAATGTTTTTGTTTTTTTTAGCCAGTTCTTAAAATATATGGGTTTATATTGTTAAAATATTGACATAAATCTAATTAGCACTATTTATTGGTGAAAAATAACTTAAATATAAGAATTAATAAGAGAAAATAGGAGTTAGTACCTTTAAATATAAGACTTCATGAAAGGGGATTAAATGAGGTGTAAAGTAATAATTGAAGTTACATTTTCAACCCTTACAATTAGAAATATAATAAATAGACAAATGTGGGCATTTTAGGTGTCATCAAAAGTTGTCATTAAAGCTATAATAAAGTAACTTTCATACCATTTATCAAACAAAGAAATAGAGGGTAATTTTAGTCCAAAAAAAAATTTCACCTTGCATCCGCATTTTTATATATAATAGATCTTTTTCTTTTATTCATTTATTAGAAAAATGTAAGATTTAAATAGAGGGAATTGAATGAGGAGAAAAGTAGTAATTCAATTTACAATTTAAACCTTACAATTAAATACTGACTAAATTCAAAATAAGTATTTTAGTAAATGTTTTAAAAATTAGACCAAATAGGACAATCGAACCATTTTGGCCCAAGAGCTGGTCAGGTCAGCGGTTTTGTTTTGGCCCTAAACCGCTATTATACAAAACAAAGGGTAAATTACAAAGGCCCCCTTGTATTATGGGGTCTGTGACAAAGACCCCCTTGTACTTTGTTTTGCGACAAAGACCCCCTATATTATGACTGTGAGACAAAAACCCCCTTGGCCGTTAAATCAGATGACAGAAAGCGCTAAATTATCAAAATACCCCATTAAATTTTTGCTCTTAAAACCTATTTAACCTAGGAAATGAATATCTGGTCCTCTAGAAGAAATTGCTTTTGGAAAAAATGGATCTATGGTCTGGAAAAATAATAAAACAGTAAGGTAAGTCGTCTTACCCAACCTTTTGAAGAAATTGTTCAGTTCATCCCATCTAGACATGGGTAAGCACCCCCGTGTGAAGCCAAACAGAGCTCGGAGGGGTTGGTCACGAAGGAGAAATATTGAAAAGTTATGTTTACTGACATAGGCTTACCGAACGCTTATCATTAGTTTAAAGGACTCACCTTCCATCTCAATCTTTATTTACTTTTGCAGTTTGTAGCGATCTGTTCTGTTCCTATCTGTTTCAGTGGGTGTTTTCTGTAACAAAACCGTTTGGGAAGATTGTTACTACCGTCACAATCCATGCCATCGGAGAGGAGCAATAGCAAGCCATGTCCCATCAAAACGGTGGTGGTTTTAGTGCAAGAGAACAGCTCCTTCAATCACATGTTGGGATGGATGAAGTCCCTCAATCCTGAAATAGATGGCGTTACAGGACAAGAATACAACTTGTTGTCCACAACCGATCCCAACTCAATGCGTATTTACTTCGGTGATCGGTCGGAGTTCGTTGACCCCAACCCTGGTCACTCATTTGATGCAATATACGAGCCAGTGTTCAGCGTCCCATGGGGGCAGTCATCTTCTGGTGATGATAAGGTTGCGATGATGAATGGGTTTGCTCAGCAGGCAGAGAGCGTACAGAAGGGACTGTCGGAGGTAGTGATGAATGGGTTCAGACCAGAAGTGGTGCCGGTTTTCAAGGAGTTGGTGATGGAGTTTGCTGTGTGCGGCCGGTGGTTCGCGTCGATTCCGACTCTAACACAGCCCAATAGGTTGTTTATTCACTCTGCAACATCGCATGGTATAGTCAACAATGACACCAAGAAGCTGATCCATGGGTTCCCACAGAAGACCATTTTCGATTCGCTTGATGAGGCCGGATTCTCTTTCCGGATATATTATCAGTACCCTTCTTCCACACTTCTCTACAGGTGAGGGTCAGCTGCCTCTCTCTCTCACACAGCCTAGTCTGGGTGGTTTTCCCTTGATTGCAAGGGAGAAATAAGGTGAGAAAGTATAAAACACGAAGAGGGTTAAAATTGTCCGAATAGTTATTACAAGGGTAGTATGGGGATTAAAAAAAATATTACAACAGTGGACTTTTCATCTTTTTGGATGGAAGGTTAACCGAAGGGGGTATTTGTCTCACGGTCATATTATAAGGGGATCTTTGTCGCAAAACAAAATACAGGGGGGTCTTTGTCACAAACCCCATAGTATAGGGGGGCTTTGTAAATGTTGAAATGGTTAGAAATTTCTCATCTTGATAGTTTAATCATTAAAATGTTCGATCCGGTTAACGGTTTTTGGGTTGCTTTCAAACTAATTCCAAATTTTTATTTATTTTAAAAATAGAAATTAGAAAATAAAATAATCATAAAAGAAACTTTCATATCTCAAAATAGAAATTAGTTAGGGTTTTTAGTTATTCCATTTTGATTTTGAGTTTTCTCATTTCTGTGGTTCTTTTTAAATTGTAACAAAAAATTGCAACTCCAATGAAGAAATTGAAAAATTGATGAGGGATCAAACACCAATATTATATTAAAATCTAAGATACACCAATGAATCAAATGATCTGGGATTGGAAAGAGATTTAGAGAGATGTAAGAAGAGGGGAAAGTGGTGTTGTAGTGACGATTGAACTGCTAACTTGGAAATCAGAAGGCAAAGCAATTCCATTTTTGGGTCAGTTTTTAAAACATTGATTTTAGTCAAAAGAAAGTTCCACAATCTTATTTATATTTTTAATAGTAGTGTAAATATAGAATTATAGATGTGTTCAATTTTTTCTATATTTGTTTTGTATTTCTGTGTAAAAATAATTCCGATATGTCACACTTACTTTTTGTTTAATATGATGATTAATTAATATTATACATGTGCCTTATTTTTTTTTTGCAAAATTTATGTTTTTTTCATTTTTGTATTTTTATATTTTATTAACTTTTATTATTTACTTATGGCACTAAAGGCTAACATGTTTAACCAAAATTTGAACTATTTGAACTATTGTCAAACGGTAAAATAATTTCATTTTTGGTTAATTCTAAATTATGCATTTCATTTTAATTACCAATAAAAATAGTTTTTATTTTTTTTAATTTGATTAATAAAAATCATAAATGTGTTTAATTTTTTCTACATTTTTGTAAGTTTCTATATTATTTCTATTTTAAAAATTTTATTACCTAACTATGACTTCGTTGGTTAATCAATTTGATTTGGATGATTAAATTGCTTAGCTACCCCTTGGATTAAAAATGGTTTTGTTTTTGAGTCAGTTTTAATATATATGGGTTTATATTATTAAAAATATTGACACAAATCTAATTTAATAAGAAAAAATGGAAATTAATAATTTGAGTATAAGACTAAATGAGAGGGGATTAAATGAGGTAAGAAGTAATTGATGTTATATTTTCAACCCTTACCATTAGATATGGACTAAATACACAATTATGGGCATTTTAGTAGCCATTAAAGTTATAATAAAATGGCTTTTATACCCTTTCTCAAAAAAAAAAAATGTAGAGGGTAATTTTAGTTCAAAAAAAGTTTCACATTGCATTCACACTTATAGATAGATAGATAGATAGATAAATAGATATAGATTTGAATAAGCACTTTTAAAAATAAACACTTCCAAACCCATCCTAACTTTTTAAAAAATTTAGGGAATTGTCTAAAACTCACAATGTCACTAATTTGATGCTAAACAAACTAACGAACGTTAGTATATTACCATTTTAACCTTCATAGAAAAATATAAAATATATACAAAATAAATTAACGAGTGTTAATATATTACCATTTTAATATTTAGACATGAAAAAACGAAAAAGTTTAAAAAATATTTTCAAATATAAAATACATAAAAACATAAAAATTACAAAAAATATAAAAAATTATAGAAGTTACAAACAAAATAAAAATTGTAGAAAAAACACCAAAAGTTATAGAAAACACAAAAAATGTAAATAAATAACAAAAAATATAGGAAAATTTATAGATTGTAGAAAATAAAAAATGTAATAAAACAAATTATAAAAAGCATTAGAAATTATAACAAAACATTAAAAATGCAAAAAAAGAAAAACAAGAAAATTGAAAACTGAAAAAAGACCATTTTTCCTCTAACTCACCATTCAAGGGTTATTTTGTCATGACATAGACACTTCTATTAAGAAACATTAACAAAGGTGAGTTTTGAAAAATAAAAATTTACTGACATGGTGAGTTTTAGAGATTTTGAAAAGTTGTGGTGAGTTTAAGAAAAATATTGATGGTGAGTTCTAGATATTTTGAAAAGTTGTGGTGAGTTTAAAAAAAATATTGATGGTGAGTTTTAGAGATTTTGAAGTTTAAGAAAAATGTTGAGAACTTATGGTGTGATTATGGTGTGATGGTGAGTTTCATACAATTTCCTAAAATTTTATTTTCTTTTTATTTTAAAAATAGTTAAGCGGACAAGGACTAATTGGATCAGATTCGGATGTGCTAATCCGATCCGATTACAGTGTTGATGACTAATATCATGTGCTAAGGGAGTAACCACTCACCACCACGATTCGGCTCCCATGCAGAGTGAGTCAACTCGGGGAGTGTGATGGAATCAACTTGGAAACTGTCGATTAATGGTTGCTTAGTCACTTTGTTTGATTGGTTCCTCCTTCTTCACTAAGGCGTCCTCTGGTTGTTACTCGTCAGTTGTTCTAGTGGAGGAGGTTGCGGTGTCAGGAACTTAGGGTTTCCACTTTCCTGTCACGATGGCTTCAGTGCCAATCTTCGCTTCGAGATCCCTGGCTACTACAAATCCCCTCAATCTTCTGCGGTAATGTGGCTCTTCTGTTTCTCTGTTGCTAAAATTTGCAGTTTTTGCATTTTCATCTCGTCTTTCTCTTCAGGGGGTTCTTCTAAGTAGGACTCTGATTATTCGTTTGATTTCTGATTACCAACAAGAACAAATGAAAATTGTTTGTTCCTCAAACAGGAATTCAGCAACGTTACGATCTCTTCCCACTGCGCAACCCTCATTTTTATTCTACAAGAATCTCTTCCGCCGAGCTCCCACTGTTCTTCCTCTTAACCTTCGAAGGTATTCGTTTTCGTTCTTGCACAAAGGGCTTCCTGCTAATTTGCATCGATGGCTGAGAATGCTTTATGATCCTATTCTGAATTTAAGGGTATCCTGGTCATTAAATTTTGCACTTTTTCTCTTTCCATTTTTTTTTTCTTATTTAGCCTCATCATCAGCCATGCGAGCGAGTTCGCGATTTCGGCTTTTGCCATTTCAGAAATCGATCTTCAAATCGCCAGAGTCTTGAGACTCCATACTCAGAAATTGTTACGAAGCTTGAGGCATTTTCAAAATTAATTCAGGAATCAAAATTTTGAAGGTTTCTAAATCCGGAAACCAATTTCTATCTCCGTGAGCCTCTCCATTGTCTCTGAGACAAGTTTGGAAAAACAGAGAATTGGTTGTTCCTGAAATGACATCTGGAATGGCTTGAAACTTGATCATTGTTATCATGCGGTGCATGGCATCTGTACAGGACCAGAAATTTGATTTCAACAACCGATTATCCATGGAGGGTTCAAAATTTAATCTGTACATTCGTGTTTAATTCAAGTTTGCAGTAATTCCTCAAAAAATAAATAAACAATTAGATTAATAGATAAATAGACAAAAACTTCACAGTACAGCTTGAAAGTTAAGGACCAGAAATTTGGTAAATTTTAGATATAGTTCTAAACTTCCACTTCAACTTTATTACTTCCACCAAATGTTTTCTTTCTGATGGCAATCATGATAGTTAAGAAACTATCCTTTCATTTAAAAACAACAAAAACAAGAGACAGATTCTTTCCAAAAATTAAGAAAGCAACCAACAGGTTTTTGTGGCTAGGAAAACAAGCAAAAATATTAATAAGCATAAGCAATTGAAAAGAAAAGGCATGCTTGATTGTTGCACTTCTTTGTGATAGAGGATTTATAACTTCATGATCATGGATATAAAACATTTCTTTCTGTAGAGCTTGGATATTTAGAAATTTAGAGGGTCAATGATGTCTGTCACTTCCTATATCCTATATTTCCTATATTATGTTGTTGTTTTGGCTGTATTATGAGTATTCAACCTATATGATCCTTATTCTTTTTTTTTTTTTTTAGTTTGATGTTTGATGTCCAACATTTTTGTAATGTTTTCTATCATTTTCTTAATCCTATGATTTTTTGTGTGTCTGCATAAACTTCTATAAAATAGTTTTACTTTTTATAAAGGCTGATGTTTACACTGAACCAAGGTTTAAAACCTTGACTTTAGATATATTTAGATGTCTATATATGTTGTAATGGAAAAATATTGCCTAATTGAGGCTATTAGGAAGCTTTCTAGAGGCATCACTTATTTATGCCACATGTAGGATTCATGTTGTGCTGATTTAAGTCATCCTTAAGATAGGGGACCCTCTAGAATGACCACGTGTTCAGTCCCCTTGTATAATTTGGCTCTGCAATCAACCTTGTGCTGGAGTTTGTCTGAAGTGCATATATAAGTATACACCTTTGCCATATTTTTTATCTTATATTTTTGCATGCAATGCATAAATTGGAGCATAATTTGTGAAATATTGCATTTTAACATCATCATTCTCCATTATTAGGGGCATTTGAACATTTGTACAAGCATGTAAAGTTCAATATATGGTACACGAAATTGCTCAATAGGCAGAAAAAAATTCTCAATAGGTCCGACTCCATAATATTGATCCGGTCTTAACACCTTAGTTATAGCCTTCCGTCAATTGCGCAATGCTTACAGTGTTCTTATTAATCATCCCAGAGAAGTCAGAACTCTGCATCTCAGCTGAATTCCTCTTTCTGTTGAATTCTGATGTTAGCAAATGCTTGTAGATAATTTCGCTAAATGGGGATGAGAATGACTTCTGGTAGGGGATATGATCCATCAGACTAGGATTTTTTTTGTTCTTGCATGTACAGTTTCTCAATGTTGGCAATGTTCAAATCCAGGCTTTACATTAGTCTATTTGAGATTCATGTTTGGATTATCAAACTATAATTTGAATTAGCAGATCCAAGATTTATATGTATTATTTCCTTTTCCTTTGTTGAGCAATGTTTTATAACTTGAATGCCTATATAGCTGTAATTTCTTGTTTATTTATATTTAATCAATTGTGCATCTGAATCAGAAACATCTGTTTCCCATGAGGCCATGAGAATGGCTGAATTTCTACTATAATTAAAGGTTTCTTGTGAATAGCTTATTACTTGATAAGTTTTCAATCTCAGATCCCTATGCCATGCCAGTGCCACAAATGATGAAGAGGCTTCTGCCAAAGCAGCTGCAGCAAGTGCTGACAGTGGGGGCCCAACCATGTATACTTCTTACTTTGCAAATAATGTTAGTTGATTTAAAAAAAAATAATGTGTATTAATTAAGTTCCCTTTTCATATTCTGCATCTTAAATTTGGAACTGTTTTCTCCAGATATGACTTATGAGTGAAAGCTTCGATTTTTCTTTTCAGATTTGACAAGATCATAGCCAAGGAAATTCCCTCCAGTATAGTGTATGAGGATGAGAAAGTATTGGCATTTAGGGATATTAACCCTCAGGCTCCTGTTCATGTTTTAGTCATCCCAAAATTTAGGAATGGATTGACACAGCTTAGCAAGGTATTAACTTTTTTTGGTTTGGTTTGTTTATGTAGTAGCACTAAAAGGATAGAACTAATGTTTCGGTAAAGATAAATATTCAGTTGACTTTGCAATCAATGACTTTATAGTTAGATATAATATTTATGCTTAAATGTTTTCAATGGTGTGAAACCATCTGACATGCTTTGTACCGAGTCCTATGATTCTTTTGTTATTATGTGGATTTTAGCTTATACATAGCAAATATAGTTTGTTAAACTATGACATTTTATATCTAGGATAAAAGACTTCATATGGTGTTTTGTTTTACCACCAATTAAGATAAGTAAGTATTTTTTTCCCCAATAACTCACAAGTCACAAACACATATGTATGAAGTGCACTGGAACTCAGATTGGAATAACATCTCCTGAAAATGTGGTGGTGTTCTTTTTTTTTCTTTTTAATATACCCTTCAAACTGATGAACTTACAAGTTACAACATCATGGATATGTATTATTTGATACTGATTGCTTGGCTGTGTTTATGTGTGACTTATAATAACATCTAAGGTTTTCGACAATTTTTTCATAAGTTACTTTAGGCTGCATTTGTTTTCGGTGTAAATACGGACCGATGTAAAACTCCACTTCCGGTCTGTATTTATCGCGTTTGTTTTGAATGTAAGTTTTACATCAATAATCGATGTAAAGACAACATCGATAAAATCGATGTAAATTTTTTCACACACCACCATGCCTCTTCACTTTACAACGGTTAACTCATTTAAAACAATCAGTGTTGAACTCCACCGATGTACTTTTACATCAATAAATATTTGCACTGAAAACAACCACAGCCTTAAGGAAATTATTAATGCGTGCAGCACATGTAATATGACTCATGGTCAGTATGTAGGTTTCCATAGCTATAAATGTGTATCTTTTTTGGTGTCTAAATATATGTACATTAAGATTCTTTGGGCCAAAATCAGATAAACTGTTTGCCTCAAAGCTCTCAAACATATATTTCACTGTATTGGAAATTCTTTACTTCCTGGGTCTTACGCATCCTGAAGGACTACCAGAGGTGTATGAAGTGGCAGGCAGATAATCAAATAAACTGAACACAAGTGAATTCGTAAAGCATACAATAAAGCAAATTGGAAGCTTAGCATCTTTCTTTATTTTAATCTGCTGAGACCTCTCTGCTTCAGTTACCTTTCTTTACTCCTATTTATTCTTTTATTTATTTGTTACTGAATTCTCCATTCACCTACAAGTATTCCTGAGTTTTCATGAGGACTCAACTTCTAAACATTAAAATACTTACAACTATTGGGATGAAAAAGCACAAAGTTTATCGAAAATTGGAAAAAAGGTAAAGACAACTACTGGCATAGAAAGCCAGTGGCAGTTTCCATATTTTCAAGACAACTCCTTTTCAATGCTTGATATATTGCATTTCATTAGTTCTAACCCATCTGGTCTTTAGTAGAATTTGTTATGTTATGTGTTCACTCTGATGAGTCCAACAGTGACTTGCATGCTGTTGCTGAAATCGCTATTATTGATGCTGTCAATGAGCCTCAAACTCATTATGGTAGGATGCATCAGCTTTGGAAACTAATCTGATCAATGTTGACGTTGTCATAAATCCTTGGTGATTCATCACCCATTCACCTTCATAGGTAATTGTTGAAATAGAAACAACAATAAGGTTTTGGGTAATTTCACCTGCGAAAGCAAAGACATAATAATGATCAAATAGAAGCCCTTCTTTGTTCTTGCATCATCAAAGGTAAAGTAAGAATTATAAGGTGAAAAAACATGGGAGGGGAGTCTGAGGTTTATTCCCTTGTTACTAAAAAGCATCATCGACCAACCTGCAAAGAAATTGTTGCTCTTAGAGAAAACAATTATTATGGGTAGTATTCATGCAATCAAGCAATGGATGAGGACAGAGAGTTGAGAAAGATACATCACTTTTGCCTTGCTTTGGCACTATTGTTTGCTTTAAGGTGCAGAAGCTTCAATGGTCCAATCATTTTCAGATCTCTCCCCACCCCCATCCTGTAATAAAACTTCAAAGAATTGGCATATACTCTTGCAGAAAATATTAATCAGAAATTCAGCATAGTTAAATATGATCTATATCAAATTCATACCCATCAAGATAGGAATGAACTATGTTCTTTTGATGTTGCAGTTATTTCCTTGAAAAATAGGTAGCCCCCATCGTGACAATTCAATTACCTATTTCAGTTTTTCCTTCAAGATTAGCAGATGTATGCTTTTATCTTATGATTTTTTTTTGGCATCTTCTACCTTGTTAGGCCGAACCAAAGCATACTGAGATTTTGGGTCATCTCCTGCACGCTGCCAAAGTTGTGGCAGAGAAAGAAGGTATAATGGACAGATTTCGTGTTGTCATCAACAATGGACCCGGTGCTTGTAAGTATCCAAGCACTCTATGAGTTATATGTTGGTTTAATACATACACTAGCAGGTTTTATGTTACTGTACCTCTTAGTCTCATAACAACCTCCCATCTTCCTGTTAATTTATGCATTAGTGCAGGTTTTATTTTACTATATACTCCATTTTATAACTGCAGTGGTGTCTCTCCTATTCATTTCAGGTCAATCTGTTTATCATCTGCACTTGCATGTACTTGGAGGAAGACAAATGAAATGGCCTCCTGGTTGATTGCCATTTAATATGGGTTCTTGTGAGAAATTTTCTGTTTTTCTATTCATTTTTCTTTCGGGTAAAATACAAAAATCTCCCTTATAATTTCTGATAATCATAAAATCCTCCCTTGTAGTTTCACTTTAACAAAAACCTCCCCTGAACTTTTAAAAAATTCAATAGAAACCTCCCTTTTGTCACTGACCCAGACAGAAAACGTTTAACTGATCCATAATTTTTTTCCAAATACCCATTTTACCCTTTTGTAAAATGGGTACTGAAATAACTAACTGATGAAGAATGGATTAAGCTAATCAATAACAGTTGCCGGTGAAGTACAGTTGCCGGACGTTAACTTCCTGGGCATTCCTCGGTCAAATGTTAACTCGGTGCTAAATACCTTTGAGGGTGAAAGATTCCAAATAACAATTAAAAGGGAAGAAGACTCATTGACGATAACTGTAGAACCCCGAAGAGTGATGATATCCTTGGCAATAGTTCTTGAAGCCATATGTATCTTTCTGCTCTAATTCAACAGAAATGGTTGCTTCCTCTTCAAGAATTGGATGACAGAGTCAGAACAAAATATTTTACAAAAAATACCCATGGAGCAGGGGAAATGGATTCGGTGGTTAAATGAAATCTCGAAAGCAAGACTTTGGGTTGGGATCCTGCTATTAAATTTATCATGGTTCTAGTAAGAACAGAATCTTTGTATTTATACTAATTCACTATGTCCAGAACTAGGTCATTGAGAAATTGAGACGACAACAATTCATCAAAGAGTTGTGCTTTAGTCCCAACAACCTTGAGAGAATGGAGATTTTATGTGTAGTGGGTTTATTGTTCGAGGCCTAAAAATTGGTCATTTTGGTTTTGGAAATTGGATTGTGTGGTCTAATGCTTCTACAAGCTCTCACAATTCAGAAACCACTGTTAATCTCTCCCTCTATTCTTTTTAAGCTGAAGGTGATATCCTTTGTTTCGCTATTCCATCATGGGGGTTAGAATTTCAAGAACAAGAGGAGAAATTCATCTCTGCGTGCCATGGAAAAGGAATCCCAGTTCGAGTTAGACTAAGAGTTCCAAAAGGCATTGAAAAAAATCTCGACGAGCAACAGCAAACCCTCTTGTAAAGAAATTACTCCTCCAAAGAAAAGGGCCTCTTCTTCTATTTCGTTCCAGTCCTTTTTTGTTATATTCGTTTTCTTTGCATTTTGCAAACAATGCAGTTCTACTTTTGCAAGGCCCTATTCTTGCATTTGGAGGATTGCCATGTTGCAACGTAGGTGTTCCATAGTAATGGTTCTTCATCGGCAACTGTTATTGGTTGGCTTAATCCGTTCTTCTCTGATTAGTTATTAGTACCCATTTTATAAAAGGGTAAAATGGTATTTTGAAAAAAAAATATGGATTGATTAAACGTTTTCCGTCTGGGTCAATAACGGAAGGGAGGTTTTTGTCAAATTTCTTAAAAGTTTAGGGAAGGTTTTTGTTAAAGTGAAGAAACTATAGGGGAGGTTTTTGTATTTTACCCTTTTCTTTCTACCAAAGTTTGTCCAGATAAGCAGGCATATAAAACAAATTCAAATGTTTACGAGGTCTAGTAATTACTGTACTCCGGAAGATGCAGTGTTGCACTATACCGTTTGCTATAGCCTTAATTCTTATCAAGGTTTTTAAAACTGACTTGGAAACAGAATCGATCAGGGGTCCGTTTTTCGGTTCGGCGGTTCAACTGTTTGGGTCAAGTAGTTTAATCCATGATGTCATAAATTAATTAAAAATAAAAAATATTTATAAATAATAAAAAATAGAATATAATTAAATAAAATACAGAAAAATAAAACTATCTAAATACAAAAATAATAAAGTACAAAACACATAGAAAATACAGAAAAAAAAAACACAAAAAAAATCAAAAAATACAGAAAAAATATGAAAAAAAAAGTTAGGATATGCAGAAAATACAAAAAATTAATAATCAATAAGCAATTAATTTAAGCAAATAAGCATCATTTGATTAATTAATTGAAAATAAAAAAGAGATTTTATCATTCTTCATTTCTTTGACTTCATCATCATCATCATTCTTTGGCATAGCAAATAAGCAATATAATCTTACTTCAATAAATCCATGCATGAATCAAGAAGCAAAAATTAATAATAATACAAAAATCAAGAATCAAGAAGCAATTAATTTAAGCAAATAAGCATCATTTGATTAATTAACTAAAAATAAAATAGGGATTATATCATTCATAAACATCATCATTATCATCATTCTTTGACATAGCAAATAAGCGAGGAATGGAAAAAAATAATAATGAAGCAAGATTAATTAAGCAAATGTGAATATGTGACTCCCTGTAACTAATTAAGCAAAAAAAATTAATTAAGAAAAGAGTACTGGAATAGAGAATCTTTGTAAAATAGTATGGAATCCCAAAAATTTTAGATGAATGCATATGAATTCAAAATAGAAAACATGTTGGGCTCACAAAAATATCAATAGGAATTCAAAAGCAAAAACATAAATCATAGAAAAAAAACATAAACCAGATTCCAGAAGCAAAAACATGAAAACAATCAGATGTTATGATGAAAACAGTGTTGGGTTCACAAAAATCGTTGCTGGTTGATTTTACTTTAGTCGCCGGTGATTGCCACTGCAAATTCCGGCAACCGCTGCAACCTGCAAGGACTATATGAATGAAAAGAATAATTTTTGAGGGGCATGATATTTTCCATATATTCTTTGTTCTTCCTTCTGTGCTTGAGCCACCCACATTCTCTTCCATTAGTTTATAGGCTGATTTAATCGAAAAGATACTTTTTTAGGTCTGGTTTCCATGCTATCTTGTCACTTCTATCTATGGTTGCAATTAGGATAGTTTTAATTTTCTTTATTCCATGTTTTATTTTCCTTAATAAAATCACTGATCTTAAGGTTTGGATTTGGATTTGGCGAGTGGGCCAATTCCGCCAAGGGGGAATTCTCTATCCAAATATCTTTCCAAAATCTAATTGATTTTACATTACCAACCTTCCACCTAATCCCCTTTTTTAGGATATCCCTTGCTTCCAGAGTGCTCCTCCATGCCCATAAACAATTTCTTTTAGTGGTAATTTGCCAAAAATTTTAATTTTTTAAATATTTATTTTTTATTAGCTTCACCCATAGATTTTCTGGTTGATTCAGAATTTTTCACCCCAATTTGGCAAGATTTACCATATTAGTCCAATGTAGTTTCCTTAAGCCCTATCCTTCATTGTTTTTGTGTTTGCATATTTTATCCCATTTCACTAGGTTGAGTGATTTTTTCTCATTTTTTTTCAAAGGAATTTTCTTTGCATTTTTTCTAGGTTCTCTACTATAGATTTAGGGAGTTTGAAAACTCTCATTATGAATTGGGGCATCATTGAAACCGATGTTTCTAAAAGTGTGGCTCTTCCTACTAGAGAGAGTGAATTATTTTTCCATCCAGCAAGCTTGTTTATGACATTCCCTTCCACCTTCTTAAAAGTCTTTTTTGAGACTCTTCCCTTAATTATTGGGGCTCCGAGATGATTTCCTTCTTTCTTTTCAGTAGGAATCTTAAGAATTCTCGAAAGAACTTTTTGCAGCCCTGTATGAATATTTTTAGAGAAAAATAAAGTGGACTTGCTAAAATTTGGATTCTGACCTAAAGCTCCAGCATATTTTTCTATAATATCTTTGATTCTTAGCACATTATCAATGTTAGCTTTAGCAAAAATTAAGCAATCATTCACAAATTGTAAAAGAGGGATGGTGGGTCCACCCTTAGCAGCTTTAAAGCCCAATATATCTTTACCTTGTCAATTTGTTTCACAAATCATCCTAGAAAGGGCATTTGAGCATAAGACAAAAATATAAGGGGATAGAGAGTCCCCATGTCTGATTTCCCTATTTGGTTTGAAACTTCTAGTTGGGGATCCATTTATTAGGATTTGGTATGAAACTGTGCTGATGCATTACATAACCCAATTGATCCACTTATTATGGAATCCTCACTTACTAAGAGTTTTTCAATGAAACTCCATTCCAATCTATCATAGGCTTTCTCCATATCTATTTTACAAGCCATGAGATCCTGTCTACCCCTTTTCTTTTTCATTGCGTTCATCATTTCATGAGTTATCAAGATACTGTTAGTAATTTGTCTTCCTAGAACAAAGGCACTTTGGAATGGTCCTATTATTTAACCTAGGATAGGCTTTAGCCTATTTACGAGGATTTTTGCTATAATTTTATATATTGTATTGCACATACTTATTGGTCTAAATTTATCAATTGTATCAGGGTTATTATTTTTTGGGATTAGGGTTATAAAGGTTTTGTTTAACCCAAGTGTCATTCTTCCATAATGGAAGAATGCCTTAAATCACTTCTTCAACTAAATTCCCAATGATTACTTTATATTTTTTTAAAAAATATGCACTTAACCCATCCTAGGCCTGGGGATTTTGTGTCCCCTATTGATTTAACTGCTTCCCTAATTAATTCATCATTCTAGGTACCTAAAAACAGTCTTATTTATCTCCTCTAATACTTGTTCACTACACTTCCTTACTTTTGAACCTTTCTTCCAACTTCTCCACAAAGAATTCCTTTATTTCATTTATATCCTCAATCCATTCCCCATTGTCATTTTTAATTTTTGAGATTTGATTTCTTCCGCTAGTTTTAACCACTCAGTTCTTGATTTCCGTGCCTAGAAGATTTCTTCCCTATGAAGTATTTTATTTAATTGTTTTTGAAGGGCTGATTCATGATTTATAATTTCTCTTCTAGTAGGATCAATCACTAGCTTCTCTTGAATTTCTTTTATTTTATTCATAATTTCTTTTTTCTTTCCAATATATTTCCAATTTTATTTTTGTTCTACATCCTTATTTCTCTCACAGCTCGGACTCTTTTTTAAAAAAAAAATTGTTAGCGCTTGGATCCTACATCTCTTTGATTCCGTGATCTCTCTATTATATGCTCCAAGTCACTATTATTTCCTGACATTATCTCTATTATATGCTCCAAGCATAGGGTTATGATCCGAGCATAGGAAAGGCAAGTTCTTAGTGTGTATGCATGAGGATACATAGTCAACCATTCATTGCTAATTAAAGTTCTATCAATTTTCTCAAAAGTGTAACTATTCTTCCAAGTGTATTTGGATCCTCTTGTTTCTAGATCCGTTAAGTTGCATAAATAAAAGTACATGTCCACAAAAATTTGGATACACAGTCATAAACCAAACCAATAGATCATTCTTTCATCAGAGATTATTATATCAAGTTTACATTGATTACTATTCCAAAACAAACCATATGCCTCCAGAATAGCCCACTGGGTGAACAACAAACCATGGATCAAAATGCAACCTTCTAGTAAAACAGCCAACATCACAATTCTGTACTCTAGTTTCAAAAATAGCTACAATTACTGGTTTATTTATTCGGACAAGTTCTCCCACCTGTCGCTAGAGCTTACATCTTCCTGCCCCTCTAACATTCCATGCCAACACTTTCATTTATGTTGTTTTCAATTATGTAGTTTGGGCAGATTTCTTCCACATAGGCAATTTCCTTGCCTTTGTTTTGGTGATCTATAATCTGAGCTCTTGGGGATGTGGATATCAATGAGTCCTCCTTACTTTGTTTGTCATTTTGTATTTCCCATTACTGATCCAACAGAGTAGTAATGTCTTCACGATCCTTGGCAAAATCATCTTCATTTTCATCAATGACCTCTAGATCATCATCATCTTCATTGTCATCGATCATTTTTTCCTCCATTTTCATCAATGTTGACCTTTTTGATTCAGGACTTGATCAAGAAATGGGTGATCCATTTCTCCCTTACCTTTAGATTGTTCTTTGGGATCCACTTAAGATCAAGATGAAGAGGGACAAGAGTTGTGCACCCTAGCCTTGCCATGTTTATTCTGGCCAGACCTTTTGCCTTAGAGACTGTCTCTTTTCCTGTCTTTAAACCAGGAAATTTTTTGGCCCTTCCATTCCCTCCTAAACTCAAAGGATTTACCAAATTTTGGTCTCCTAGTGGAGTATTTTATTTTCTTTTTTTTTTTTCATTTCAGTCCCACCTTCTATGATTGAAGGACAATTATAAGATTTATGCCCTAGATAACCACAACCAATGCAGAGGTCGTTTATGTTCTCATACATCACATTAATGGTATTCTCAACCCCTCTCACAGTCACAGGAATTTCTAATAAAAGAGGCCTTGTAAGATTCACAGTGACACAAACTCATGGGAAAAGAGTTGTCATTTTTTAGTGAACTTGTCCATTTTTATAATAGAACCAACTTGAGGGAAGCAAAAACTAGAAAAGATAATAATTGCAGGATAAAGCACCCAATGAAACACAAGGGTCGGTCCGGTATGACCCACTTTACACCTCTATTCATAGAGAGATTAATCAAATGATTCAGTCTTTTGCTTTACGTGATTGAACGGACTCAGCTTTAAAGCTCAGCCATTGGATTGGAATCTTTTTGGTCGATGAAGATGAATCTCAAAATATGGGGCCAATGATGTCAAAACATGGTCATATTCATCATCATTGTTATCAACTCAGCAGCCCAGTTTTCACTTGGATCCTATAAATTGTAGAATGAATGGTT